ATCACTACCAGACCTGATGATCACTACCAGACCTGATGATCACTACCAGACCTGATTATCACTACCAGACCTGATGAGCCCTACCAGACCTGATGATCACTACCAGACCTGATGATCACTACCAGACCTGATGATCACTACCAGACCTGATGATCACTACCAGACCTGATGATCACTACCAGACCTGATCACTACCAGACCTGATGATCACTACCAGACCTGATGATCACTACCAGACCTGATGATCACTACCAGACCTGATCACTACCAGACCTGATGATCACTACCAGACCTGATGATCACTACCAGACCTGATGATCACTACCAGACCTGATGATCACTACCAGACCTGATGATCACTACCAGACCTGATGATCACTACCAGACCTGATGATCACTACCAGACCTGATGATCACTACCAGACCTGATGATCACTACCAGACCTGATGATCACTACCAGACCTGATGATCACTACCAGACCTGATGATCACTACCAGACCTGATGATCACTACCAGACCTGATGATCACTACCAGACCTGATGAGCACTACCAGACCTGATGATCACTACCAGACCTGATGATCACTACCAGACCTGATGATCACTACCAGACCTGATGATCACTACCAGACCTGATGATCACTACCAGACCTGATGATCACTACCAGACCTGATGATCACTACCAGACCTGATGATCACTACCAGACCTGATGATCACTACCAGACCTGATCACTACCAGACCTGATCACTACCATACCTGATGATCACTACCAGACCTGATGACTACCAGACCTGATGATCACTACCAGACCTGATGATCACTACCAGACCTGATGATCACTACCAGACCTGATCACTACCATACCTGATGATCACTACCAGACCTGATGACTACCAGACCTGATGATCACTACCAGACCTGATGATCACTACCAGACCTGATGATCACTACCAGACCTGATGATCACTACCAGACCTGATGATCACTACCAGACCTGATGATCACTACCAGACCTGATGACTACCAGACCTGATGATCACTACCAGACCTGATGATCCCTACCAGACCTGATGATCACTACCAGACCTGATGATCACTACCAGACCTGATGAGCACTACCAGACCTGATGAGCACTACCAGACCTGATGATCACTATCAGACCTGATCACTACCAGACCTGATGATCACTACCAGACCTGATGACTACCAGACCTGATCACTACCAGACCTGATCACTACCAGACCTGATGATCACTATCAGACCTGATGATCACTATCAGACCTGATCACTACCAGACCTGATGATCACTACCAGACCTGATCACTATCAGACCTGATCACTACCAGACCTGATCACTACCAGACCTGATGATCACTACCAGACCTGATGAGCACTACCAGACCTGATGATCACTACCAGACCTGATGAGCACTACCAGACCTGATGATCACTACCAGACCTGATGATCACTATCAGACCTGATGACTACCAGACCTGATGATCACTACCAGACCTGATGACTACCAGACCTAATCACTACCAGACCTGATGATCACTACCAGACCTGATGATCACTACCAGACCTGATGATCACTACCAGACCTGATGATCACTACCAGACCTGATGATCACTATCAGACCTGATCACTACCAGACCTGATGACTACCAGACCTGATGATCACTACCAGACCTGATGACTACCAGACCTGATGATCACTACCAGACCTGATGAGCACTACCAGACCTGATGATCACTACCAGACCTGATGATCACTACCAGACCTGATGAGCACTACCAGACCTGATGATCACTACCAGACCTGATGACTACCAGACCTGATGATCACTACCAGACCTGATGAGCACTACCAGACCTGATGATCACTACCAGACCTGATGATCACTACCAGACCTGATGAGCACTACCAGACCTGATGAGCACTACCAGACCTGATGATCACTACCAGACCTGATGATCACTACCAGACCTGATGATCACTATCAGACCTGATGATCACTACCAGACCTGATGATCACTACCAGACCTGATGATCACTACCAGACCTGATGATCACTACCAGACCTGATGATCACTATCAGACCTGATCACTACCAGACCTGATGATCACTACCAGACCTGATGATCACTACCAGACCTGATGAGCACTACCAGACCTGATGATCACTACCAGACCTGATGACTTCCAGACCTGATGATCACTACCAGACCTGATGAGCACTACCAGACCTGATGATCACTACCAGACCTGATGATCACTACCAGACCTGATGATCACTACCAGACCTGATGATCACTACCAGACCTGATGATCACTATCAGACCTGATCACTACCAGACCTGATGATCACTACCAGACCTGATGAGCACTACCAGACCTGATGATCACTACCAGACCTGATGATCACTACCAGACCTGATGATCACTATCAGACCTGATCACTACCAGACCTGATGATCACTACCAGACCTGATGACTACCAGACCTGATGATCACTACCAGACCTGATGACTACCAGACCTGATCACTACCAGACCTGATCACTACCAGACCTGATGACTACCAGACCTGATGATCACTACCAGACCTGATGATCACTACCAGACCTGATGATCACTACCAGACCTGATCACTACCAGACCTGATAATTACTAGAGGACCTGTAGAATTAAGAATCATTTAACTAGAATCTGTCTGACCAGAGCAACAGCTAAAGACCTGCCGGGCGGCCAAAGGTCCAACATTCATCTTCAACCTTAAAGAGATTATTGATTGTTTTCTGATCTGACTACAGAAATTACAAAAAAAGCAGAAAACAGAAGAAATCTGTAAGGGTCAGATAGTTCTTCACTGTACAGGCCACTGTGTGTGTGTGTGTGTGTGTGTGTGAAAGGCACTGAGATCAAGAAGACGGTGTGAGTCGGGGTGTGCAATGCCTCCTGACTTGAAGGTGATGGACGTGTTGGCATGGTCAGCCGGGTGTAACAAAGAGAGGAAGGTGTTATTTGGGGGGGTGGGGGGGTAGCGCCAGCAGAGACAGGAAGGGGCAGGGCGTTGTACTCCGGAACATAACTCCTGTTATTTATCTCATTGTTTTTTTCTGCACAGCTCGCAGTCCAGCAGGAGCTGCCATAGCACCGCTGCTCAGGCCACCCTGAGGCCCGGCCTCCTGTTTGGAGTCATTCAGGAGCTCTTACACAACACATTAGTTATTTAACCAGCACCACGCGCACGCACACGCACTCTTCTTGTGTTACATTTAATTCTAGAATGCAGGAGTCAGATTGCACACACACACACACACGAGTCTAAATCTCAGAGACACACACCAGTCACATCAGACACCTTGTTTACCCTGACTCACAAGTGGCTTCCAGAGGCATGGGTGTGAGCTGCTCGTCACTAGTGGCTCCAGTATCATGATATGAGAAGTGTGTGATGGCTGCTGCAGCTGTCTGAACCCAGCATGGACTCCCTGAAGAACGCAGCCAGCATGCAGGATGATTCCACAGCGGCTGAAGAAGGCAGCAAGCACCTCCTCCGTGTTGGACCAGAACCACACACAGACATGGATCAGATTTAATCTTTCAGGAGAATTATCACCCTTCAAAGTGCTCTGACTCCCTGTGCCGGGCTGGTTCTTTACTGTTTAATTAGCCTGAAACCCGATGAGATCCAGGGCGGGTCAGCCAGTTCACCTCTCTCTCTGAGTGCTACCTGTCAGCTCTGATGGATCCTTCTGTAAATGATGCATCAGGTACCAGACGCATTGGTCAGTGACACCACACCCCAACATGAGTGCACGTGTCTGCCTTCACCTTTATGTGACCCTCCGTTAGTGTTCATAAGCACGAGTCTGCATCCTGTGTGTGTGTGTGGTTTGGATGATGGTGGTGGACTCAGCACGGTTCCACCTGCTCTAACAGACCTTTTATCTCTACTTCCGGTCACTGATTTCTTTGGGGCAGCAGAGGGCTCGCTCCCGCCCTCTAGTGGCGGCTGCTGGGAATTAAAGGCACCAAATAACTCATAATAAGAAACCTCATCACCACTTTATACTGTTCACTCGGATGGAGACCTTCCTTGCAGGTTCTGGTCCTCAGATGTTCTGGTCCACCTTGACACGGCAGCATCAGATCTATCCATGATGAGAAGCTCCTGCTCCACCACATCCCACAGGTTCTGGACTAGACTGAGATCTGGTGACTGTGGAAGTTGTTGGGGTCCAGTGAACTCATGATCACGTTGTAGAAACCAGTTTCTTTGTGTTCCTGCTGGAAGTAGCATCAGAATATGGGTCCTTGTGGTCTAAGGGATGGACTTGGTCAGCAGCAGTACCCAGATAGGTAAACCAGGCTCAGGTGGGACTGAGGGGTCCACAGGACAAGAACATCCCTCCACCATTACACCACCAGCTGCATTGATACAATCCAGGATCCATGTTTACATTTTGGTGACACCACATTCTGTTCTGACGGCTCAAGTTTGGACTCATCGGACCAGGAAAAGGGTTTTCCAGACTCTTCTGGTCCGGTTCTGCTGATCCTGTGGGAATTTTAGCTTCAGGTTCCTGTTAGCTGGCAGGAGAAACACCTGGTGTGGTCTTCTGCTGCTAGCGCCCATCTGAAGGAGCTGGTGCGGTTCTGCTGAGGAACCAAAGCTGATCTGAGCTGCTGTTCCAGTCTGACCTTTGACCCTAGATGGTTATGGGTTCAAAGTCTAGTTATCCGACCTGTTTGGCAGCAGCAACGGTGTCACGTTTAAAGTCTCCTTTCTGATGCTGTTTAAACTTCAGCGGGACATCTATAGATGAAAAATGCAGCTTTGTGATTGGCTGATCAGATATTTGTAACTTAATAAATACATAAGTAATAAAGTCTTGTGTAGATTGTCGTCATAATTACCTGGAAACAGAATAAGTTGTGATTTTTTTAACTAAACTGAACATAAACAGAATTACAGAAACACAATCCCAGTTTAAGTGTTCTTCCAGTTTATTTCTCTGAACTCAACAATTAAAGCAGCTGTTTCTCGTTGATCTGTTAAGTGTTTTCTAAATGAGGTAAAATGATGACAAAGTACCAACAAACACAACAAGCAGTATCTGTTACCCTCACATCAAACCACCATCGAGTTTTCCCTTTAAGCTCCAACATCAGGAGATCCTCCTCCCCAGTCCAGTCCAACCAGAGAGAGCTTCACAGCAACGCTTAAATAAGAAACTGCAAGAAGAAAGCACATTTCTACCATTTCAGCTGGTAAACACTGATGTATGAAATAAAACCGTTTGTAATCACATTATTATCTCCTTGGTTTCAGGAAACGACCACACTCAGAAGTGAGTCCTTAGACGCGAACAACCACCCGCCGTGACCTTGAGACGACTCTGGACTGACCTGGTTGCACTGCGGTTTTTCTACAAACTTCGGTACCTTGGGCTCACCCGAGGAAAAGGGCACGTAGACACGACGCGATGATGCTGTTTTATAAACCATCACTCCTAGTTTATAGCAGACCAAATCCAACCCCACTCAGAACTCGGTTTCTTCAGACACGAGAGTTCTGAAACATCACATCACACACTCACCACGTATCATTGTTTCCTAGCCGTCATGTCTTATATTATAAATAAATTTCTTACTTTTTATAAACTTGGCTTGTCTGAATTAACACGAAGTGTACTTACGACCCCTGAATAAACAAAGAATCCTAATTCTTCTGGTTAAACCATTTGAGACCAATCAGGTTGGATTTTGCAGGTTCGAAACTCGGCTGAGTCGCGTGTTCGCCCCGTGCATGCGTGGGTTTCCCCCACAGATCACAACATGCTCTATAGGTTATACATTGTAGTCACTTTGGATAAAAGCGTCTGCTAAATAAATAAATAAATAAACATTTCCATATTTATATGGAAATTCACATCTTATTGGTCAAATGTAGTTTAGTATATTGAGCTTAAAAATCACTACCAGACACACACACGTACACCAACACTACAGCTTCATTTAACTCTGCTAAAATGATGAATTTGGCCAAAATGTAAGACAAGAACATGAAAATTTATCAAGTTTAAGAGCAAAAATAAAAAAAAAGAACAAAAAACAGGAGCGAAGCTAGGCAGTACGATAGCAAGTTAACTCTAAAAGTCAAAAGCAAATGTTCCATCTGGTGTAGCATTAGCCTAAACTAGCCTAGCTAACGTTGGATACCGAATCCTGATGTTTTTGTTTTTTTATGTTGTTTGTTCGAATAAAAACGACATAAATCTAACCACAGGACTAGCTACAGGAACTCACATTCAGGTGTTTATTACAATTATTTCTATTTCATTTAGAAATGAAAACGGCATTATAACACAATCCTGGCATTTTAGCAAGTTTTATGTTTGTATCGTGAAATGATTCAGTTTACATGTTTTAAAAACGAGCAACAGCGAGCTAATGCTAATGAGCTAGCTAGCTTAAGCTTTAGAAACATGAAATGATCTTAAAAATACATTAAATTAGATATAATCAAAAAAATCTGAGATGATTCCATCTAAAGACAAACACTGGATTATTGGGACCTTATTAGTAATATTTTCAGTTTTACGTTATAAAGTTTGGAATGAATAACAAAATAAAAGATTTTTTTTTTTAGCTTTTTTGTTGAACTTCAAAAGTTTAAATCCTGTTTTTAACTATGAAACATTTTAATTGTGCAAATAATAAATTAGTTGTTAAAGATTACACACGTTTAACTGAACATATAAAACGTTAGCAGCGGTGCACATAGACGAAAGCGGAGAAGCACGACGACAGAGGCATGGCGGTCCTTGAGCCACGATGTCTGTGCAGAGAAGGTGATTTAGGCAGAAACTTGGGTTTGGGTTAGGGTTGACTCTAAACTCATGAATGTTTACCAGCGTCGAGTCACGAGTCGCCTGAGCACCGACGATCTGAGCGCGCGACATTAAACGATTCATTAAAGCTGAGGCAGCTGGTTGGGCCTGTCTGAGCGGTGAAACCTCCTGCTCCAGCAGTCAGGTCGCTCTGAGCGCTCATCGTCCCGCTCAGCGTCTGCAGAAGGGCGTGCGCTTTTAGTCAGCCGCCGCTCGACTGGAAACGTCTTTCTTTGAAGCTAAAGAATAAAAAAGTCAGCACGTCTCTCTGAATCCATTGTGCCCTCCTCATCCTCAGTCGCAGCAGCAGAAGAAGGAGCACGACGACCCCTCGGGTCCGCGGAACTTTCCGGAGCTGGGCGTGTCCGTGCACTGAGCGATGAACAGGTGCAGGTCGGTGACGCGCGCCTGCTCCTGTGTTTGAGCCTGTTGGAACAAAGGTGAGGACTTTCAAAATAAAAGGAGAAAAGCAGTTGAGTTATAAACTTACTTTGAAGGTAAGCACTGCCGAGCCTCTGGCCCTGTTGGGTTCAGAACCAAGGAAACTGGACTTCCTCGAGGACAGTTTAGGTCTCGTCTGAGACGCTATCTCACTTCAAACCGAAGACCTTCATTTATGTCAGCTAGCTCACAAACCCAACCTCCCGAGGGTCGTCCGGGTCTTGGTTGACTTGCTCTCCACGCAGGAAGCAGAGGCTAAGAGGACACCACGTTTTGTACGAGGACCAAGACAACGCAGGCCGTGACGACCTGGCATCACCACAGCTCTCACTACGGTTTAAACGCTCGTTAAGCCATGTTTGTCTGTTCGAAGTCCAACTGGTTTCTGAACCCAGCAGGCCCACGGCCTGGGTGACCGCTAAGCTTCGCCGAGTGGCGACCGTACCATGATGGTGTCGTAGGCTCCAGTGATGAGCGCGATGAAGAGGGACAGCACCATGTAGATGAAGAGGGAGATGAAGGTGTACAGGTAGACCTGGCTGAAGGTCCACACCAGGGTGTTGGTATGCTCCATCTCAGCGAACGTAACAAACATGTCGTCCCCGTTGATCAGAGAAAACAGGCACTCGGACACCATGGACAGGGAGCGAAACTGCAACACCAGGACACACTTCCTACGTGACTCCGGCTGTTTTCTCCTCTAGCCAAGAGCTTCATGATAACGAAGCCGTACTGAAACGTGTGTTTCACCTACGTGGCGCCATTCAGACCGTGTGTTCCGTACCTTTGTGTGATAGGGGCCCAACACAATCCAGCCGCAGAAGCAGTACCCAAAATAAATGGCCGCCGCACAGCAGCAGAACCGGATAACGTTTGGAAAAGCGGCTCTCAGAGTCACAATCAGGATCTAAACCAAACAGAGAAGATACCTCCGGCATGGTGGAACACTGACACACACACACAGGATGTGATTATGAAGTATCTGAAGCTTCACTCACATTGTATTTCTGAAAGAAACTGAGGTAGCGGATGACTCCCACCCACACCAGCAGAGTGGAGGTTCCCAGCAGGATCCCACACAGGTCATACGAGGACAACGTCTTCATCATGGAGGAGACACAGTGATGACCATGAGTTAAAAAACATCATCGCATCAACGGAAGGAAAAATCCTTCCAAACGGCAGCATGTACAGCAACAGCCAACGAGGACTGAACACGGACCCCTGGGGAACACCACGGATGATTGGTGCTGAGCAACAGGAGAATTACTCAGCAGGCAAATCTACAAGAAGTAAAACTGCAGAGAAAAACGAGTCAACATGTAAAGAAGACCATTAAAACTCAGACTGGAACGTTATAAATCCCATGAAAGAGTCTAAAGTTGAATAAAAACAACGGTTTCTCTCCCACACGGTGAAGAGCTGAATGCTACCTTGGACTCGATCCCGATTTTGATGAAGCTGCCGATGATGGTGAACAAGTCGCTGACGATGAGCAGGATGTACCAGCCGTTAATGAACTCCATCCTGTCCCCCCAGCTCGCCCGGCGGTCAAGTTTGTGCTTGAAAAACCAAACGTACTCCTGATGGAGGAGACGAGGAAAGACGAACGTTTCTCGTTTAAAAAAGGACAGTCAACAGAAATCTCTAATAAAACACAAACGCTGTTTAAAGCAACAAAAACCTACAAATCAGCTTCACTTTTGTGTGGAGAACCGATAAACACGGTGTCGAAGGAAAGGCTTCCTTACGTTCTGCAGCATGATTCCTCTGAGGATGGAGCGGCCGCAGAGCAGCAGCGACAGGAGGCACACGAACGACACCAGAACGTCGAAGAACTCCAACGCGTAGCTCTCCGCTGACAGACGAGAACAGACGTGATCAAATCAAAAACAACACAACGGTCCAGGACTTGATCAGGACTGGGTTTCACCGGTCGGGCCCGGCCTTAGACACGGTGAGGAGTTCAGACATCAGAGGAGACACGAGGAGCCGCTGCGCCTCCACGTGGAGGTGTTTCAGGCGTGTCCTACTGGCAGAAGGCCCCGGGTCGACCCGGGACGTGTCGGAGGGATTACACCTCCTCTACGTTGGTCGGGGAGACCCGGGGAGGAGCTGGTGGAGGTTGCTGGGGAGATGGCGTGTTGGCCGGCCCCCGTGACCCGCATAAGCAAACGAAAATATTTTCATCAAATACAAAAAAAATTCTGGCGAGATTTTAAATCTCTAGCGACTAATCGGACCACGCCGTAGGGGAGTCCACACATTTAGTGCCTCGCTTCAGTATTTTGTGGATTAAGCACCACGGTGAAAGTGCGCCGCGGCGACATTCCCCACAACCCTTTAGACCGAGGACCGACCCGTGGCTCACCGTGTCCCGACACCGTCGGGTCTTTACACTCTTTGATGGAGGCCCGGTTCTGCAGGCTGATCTTTACCATGCCGCTGTGTGCCCTGTTGTCCATGACGATCTGACAACACAAACAAGGAGATGCAGGAGGCGGAGTTTAACACTGGTGTATTTGATACATTACCTTTCTGACGTGACCAGATCAGGTCACACGCTGCTGTGAACTCTTGTTCGTTAGTAAAAACCGTCGTTTACGATCCACCTGACTCTGCTGCCGTCGGCAGAAAAAGAACATCTGATCCTTTAAACTTGGATTAGATCGTTTCTAACATGAAAATCTGACGCACGGATGGTTGCTGGAGTCCAGAGAGAAGCTCAAACTCGGACCTCTAAACATTCAAATGTGTCTGGACTCCACATGTCCCGTGTCCTTTAAGCCGTTTTGACAGAAATAACTAATCAAATGCCTCCACGGGTAAAAGCTTAGACTTCCTCTTGTCTATCATTTCTTCTAGTTTATGGAGCCTGCCTTTATTAATGTAGCGTGGAGATGTCCAAGGCTGTGATGTCAGAGGTCACCAGACAGCCTGCTTCATCTGTGTGCTTTCACCTGGAGACACACGCTGTCTGTGACCTTGCACCTGAACATATCTGCTGCTCATCCAAGGTGTCATGCAGGAGAAGAGAGTCTGACTCCATTCAGTCTACAGGGTTCAGTCATATTCGGTGTTTTCTACAATGAGTGTTCTTTCTAAAGTGATTTAATAATCGATTAATTATCAGCGGCATTCACATGATAATACCAGTATATTAAAGGGACTTTACGGTGTTTTGAATTTTTATGCTCGCGATCGCCCCCTCAGGCCAAAAGCGTAGCGGCAGCTTCAATCGTAGGCTCGTGCACGAGGCGCGCATGCTGTACGTGCACACTCCTTAACGAAAATAACAGCTGAGACAGTCCCGTGTGTGTGTGTGTGTGTGTGTGCATGTGTGTGTGTGTGTGTCCCGGAGGACAGAGGACAGAACGTGCAGCTAATTAACTAAATAATGTGGTTCTGTACCTTTCTCTTCAGCACAGCCGACAAAGGTTTATGATGGGTCAGTCCTCCTGCATGCTCAGATCATTCCCTTCCCTTGCTTGAAAAATTGTTCCAAAATGAAAGTTGAACCCACATCTTTTTATCTGTGAATTCAATGCCGTTCGGCGAGTCTCAAATAAAAATTTGGGCGTCTTACTGTAAAAAATATACCATTAATGTAAAAAATAAACTTAATCTATGTTCACATCCAGAATCAAACCCAGGACTTCTGCATGAGAGTCCGACATCTTACTAGACGAGCTATAACACCAGTGACGTCCTCTGTATCTGTAACATTTATATCCTTGATGACAGCTGAAACAACGTTCAAAGAACGGTTCGGAGTGAAAATGACTATTTTGTTGCTAATTAGCAGGAAATATCTAGAAGAAAGTTCTACAGAAAGTAGCTAAGGGTCCTCAGAAATGTAGCTAGCTTTGTCACTAGGCGTTAGGAACAGCGACAAAGTGGCACTGCCTCTCTGTCTGCTGCTAAAGCTACGGATAGCAAATGCTACGGGCGATGCCTGAGCGTGAACGCGCATGAAGCAGCCTGCTCGACCCGAGCATCTCTCTTTTTCTGTGGTTTTACAGAAAAACAGGCAATCACAGTAAAAATGCCAGGGCTCATTCTACAGGACCAGGGCATTGCAGGAGAACGTATGAAGAAGACATTTATTATTTCTATACATGTTCTGGCTGTCAGACTTCCATAATGCCCCTTTAACAAATGAATGCTGAATGAAATGAGATCTCTAAGCTTCACAGAAAGGGGCGTGGCTGAGGGTCGTGGTACACAGACTCCTCACATCTGGTTGGTCAAAGTCTAAAAACAACCATTTCATAAAAGTGAATGACTTCCTACTTCCCCAGCTCAGCCAGAGCTCACAGCTCACGCTAAATAACCGTCCTGCGGCGAATCAAATAACTTCAGCAGCACATGAACCGTCCTTCTGACGCCTGACTGCACATCTTTGTGACCGTTTGTCTGTGAAAGGGTTAGGGTTATCTGAAGGAGAAGCTTGGCTAAAGTGACTACATATTAAAGTTTTTAACTCTGACATCGCTGAAATCCTGCAGAGCTAAAGTGCTCCGGCTTCAAACGAGACTCACGGTGATGGCGAACGTGTAGCAGTCTGGGATCTCGTTGTTGATTATGGTCTGGATGTTGATGGCCTTCAGCTGGAAGTCGACTGTGACGTTAATCAGCCTGTAGGGGAAATTTAAACACCACATCAAATCTTTAGAGGAGAATAAAAGTTTAGAGTCAAAAAGACAAAAAAGCCTCTGACTTGTGAAACTGGAGGGTGAAATTCTTGTAGTCGCCGCTTCCTGGAGTAGAAATGAGACTCGGTGGATCGATCCCGATGCAGTCTGGAGGACAGAATCAGAAAATAACTCAAAGGAAGTGAAATCTGGTGCGTGAGGAAGTGGCGTTTCAGATCACAACCACTTCCTCCGAGCACCTAAACATCCCACGCTCGGAGCAGAGCAGATCCCACAAACGGGCCTCGTCTGCTGAATCAGCAGCCGGTTCCCAGCAGACACAATTCAAGCCTTTAAAACCCGCCAGCAGCGTCCGTGGAGAGAGAAAGGTGCTGCTACCCGTAACGACGTGCGGGTCGATGTCAAACGTGTCGTTGACCGGGTCAATGGAGCCCCTCTTGTAGAACCTCTGGCAGAGGGACAGAGCGCTCCCGTTGACACCCACGCCCATCACGAAGGCGTAGCGGCCCAGGGAGATCCGAGGCAGAGCCATGTACTGAGGAGAGAGAGACGGGTTTAGCGTCTGTAGAACTCAGGTCTTCTGTGGCAGCCATCTTGAGAGTTTATCAGGTGTAGAGGAAAACACTCAAGAGTTTTTATGATACACACTCCATTAGGTCCATCAGCCAATCAGACCGCAGCAACACAATGCATTCATTTATCCAGACACGCTAAAGTTCAAAGTGAGCATCAGAACAGAGGAGAACCGGTACCAGACGGGCTTCTACCAAGGTCTGCAGAAGCACACCAGCTGCTCCAGATGGACTCCAGCAGCGGAGGACCACACCAGGTGTCTCACCTGTCAGCTAACAACAGGAAGGTGAGGCTACAACTCCCACAGGATCAGCAGAACGGGACCAGGAGAGACCGGGAAAACCTTTCTGGTCTGATGAGTCTGGATCTCAGGTCAGAATTTGGTGTCACCAACATGAAAGCAAGGATCCATCCTGGATCGTATCGACGCGTCGGTCTGCTGCTGCTGGTGGTGGTGGTGGTGGTGGGGGTTAGAACCCCTCAGTCCCACCTGAGCCTGGTTTAAACCCCACAGCTTACCTGATTCTCGTTGCTGACCACGTCTAGCCCTTTATGATCACACAGACCCATCTTCTGGTGCTTCTCCCAGCAGGATCTTACACCATGTCACAAAGCTCAGACCATCTCTAACTGGTTTCTAGAACCACGAGTTCAGAGGACTCTAACGACATCCAGAGTCACCAGATCTCAGAATTAAGGTGGTCCTGAAGGCAATAAGGGCGCCTGCTACTGGTGGACCTAATAAAGTGGCCAGAGTGTATCTGGATAAAAACAAAAGCCCTGATTCAAGCCTCTAAAGGACCCGGTGCTGCTAACCCAAACCTTCTGCTACCTGCTCGATGGCAAAGTAAATGCGGCTGTAGAGCTCGGCCTGCGTGTGGACAGCCTGAGGAGCGTTGTCCTGGTAACCCTTCAGGAACAGGTGCTTAAACGCTGCTGTGTTCTCCTCCCTGAACGTCACCACCATCTGGTTGCTCAGCCCAAACTGCACCAGCTGGGAGGCAGAAACGAAAACAAACGACTCAGCTGCAGAAACTCTGCTGTGGCTCGTGGAGATGATGGAGGAACGGCTGAGCTCACCTGCACGGTGACGATGATGATTTTGAGAAGCTGCAGACCCAGTTTGAAAGGTTTGCGCCCCTTTGCATGATATTTGTCACAAGGACTCATGAAGAAGTACTTAAGTTTCCTCCTCAGGGCCTCCTCCTCGTCCTCTTCCTTCAGCTGCTGATGGAGCCCGGAGCCCGACAGACCAGTGGGACGAGGGCCCCCCTCTCCGAGCACATCCCGGGACCCATAGCCGGATACGGAGGACAGAAGCCTGTCTTTCTCTGAGACACACAAAGAAATTCACTTTAGATTTTAATCATTATTAATGTTGGTACTGCAGCCCGGCATGGACAACATGTCTCAGTCGGACCGGGGGAAGGGTGGGGGCAGGGTATCTGCAGGTTTAAGGGAGCCACTTTGACCAAATTTAAGCTATTTTTTAAAATAAAGTTTAAGCTATAATTTCCAGCTATTGCCTGGAACCGGTGCTAACCACGTCGCGAACGTGGGATTAGCCATCCAGCTACCATTAAACCTGCACTTCCCCATGGCGCAAGCTCCCACTAGCTTAACCAGCTAATGTGCTCATCTAAAAATAGCCCCCTTTCACAACCAACTGAATGTATACGGTTCCACTTACGGCAACATCGTACACAAAAAACGCTGAACACTAACTAGGAATTCACGAAAATTTTATAGAAATAAAAGAATCTTGTTTATTGGGTCTTTGGTCATTTAAGGCCTTTGGAAACTGTATTGAAGGATCATTTGTCATTTTTAAGGCCTTAAATTTGGAAAAGCTAATTTAGGACTTTTTAAGACTTTTTAAAGAGCAAGTCACCTCTGCCAGATTCTTCCTCAACTCCCACTTCCTGTTTGAAAAATGCAACAAATGCTGTTGCCTAGCAGACCGAGAGGGCGGAGCCTCTAACAAATTACACACACACACGACATTGTGACATCATAATGTACCATCTAACATCATAGTGTACCTCTTAGCCAATAGCAATGGCAGATTTAAATTCAAATGCAGAGCTGAGTTTTTGCGTGACGACGGTGCATCGCTGACAGTTTTGGGCAGAATATTTAAAATTTAACTAAGATGCACTAAAATGCCGAATTATTGACTACATGTGTCTACAGCACAATTGGACACTCATTTATATAGTTTATCAGCCAAAAAATGGTGATTTGGAGTGACTTGCTCTTTAAGGACCCACGGACACCCTGGGCGGGGGTCGGACAAAATGCAAATTAAAGTAATTTTACCTTTGAGACTTTTTAGGAAACATAGTGGTAAAAATGAGATCTCTAGAAAATTCCAGATACAGAAACTTTGTACTTAGGTACGGCATTCCATCACTGGTTCACAAGAGTAAACTTCACCAGCAGCTGGTTCGCCCAGGGTTCAGCTAAAACAACCATGCTTACTTCACTGCTATGGAGGCTGGAGCTGGTTTAAGAAGGCACCAATAGCCTTGATCTCGGCTGAACTCCGACTAGCCGTTAGCTCATCAATCCGGTCAGATTTAACAACAGCTTCTCCAAACTGAACCTGTCCAGGAGGCGAGAAAACTACCTCAGATGGAACTAATTCAATAAAGAAATAACCCCCTTTGACATAATACTATCTCACTGAGGACTTATTTCAGCACCTTACCGAAGTGACTGAACTGAGCGACATTATTCAGGTAGAAGGGTGATCAGATCATGATGTTGACGTAGAAAATGAGATTTATAGCTTCCCAGTAACAAAATCAGCGGTGAGGTGAAAACAGATGCCTTAAAATAATTCAGAGAGTTATTATTATCTTGTAATAATCCGTGATTAAGTCAAGAGAAAAATCAATAACTTTAAATCGGCGTGGTCTCCCTTTAGTTGGCCTGTAAACCTGCATAAACCAGCTGATAGCGGCTAGCATAGCGGCTAGCAGGAGGAATCTCCGCGGAGCATTTCTGCGCCACAAAAACCAGCGAAGAAGAAGTCAGACGAACCCGAGGCTGAGGAGGAGAACGCTGACGTCGCCATGGTGTCTCAGGTGGAGAGGAGGACATTACCAACAGGAAACCAGAACAGCGAGGTTTATCTGAGTAAAAGGTGGAGATCAAAGGATGCTCGCTCTCGCAGCAACGGCAACAAGAAGGTAAACATCGATCGCTCGCAGCTTCCTCGCTCCCACGTGACACCGATCACGTGACAGAGCTGCTCCCGTTGTTTCCCTCTCAAGAAAACAATCACGAGGCGCTTCACAAGAACACAAAGAAAAAGATTTTTTTAATTATTTAAAAATATAAAAATGAAAAATTGTGAAAAAATAGTAGGAAACGGATAGAGGATGAAAGAGGGAAATCGTGATTGAATGACCGAGTATGTCTTCTGATCTGAACCCAATCCAACTCCTGTGGGCTATTCTGAAGCAGCAAGTAGAGCATCACTCTCCATCCAGCATCCAGGCTCTAAAACAGGTTATTCTTGAAGAATGGAAAAAGATAGATGTTGTAATCTGTCGCCACCTTGTTTATTCCATGGCTATAGACTTGGTGCTGTCCCTGAAAACCACAGTAGTCATACAAAATACTAGATGTGGTAGTTTTTGTTATGGGGTGTATTAATTCTTGCCTCAACCGGCTTTAGTAAAACTGAAGATTTTGTGAAATAAGTTATATAATTTCATGTTATGGAGTTAAATACGTGTTCAATAAAACCCAGCTTTGCGAACATTCTGGAAAGTGTTCCCTTGTTCATTGAGCTACTGATTAAAGAGACAGTGTGTATTCTTCTTGTCGATGGGGGCAGTAGATACCTAAATCATTGCAATGACCAGTATTTTTGTGTTGTAGTGAGACCTTACCAACAGATGCCCATTAGGGTCAAAAAGCCCTGGGGAGTGCAAAATTTAGCAAACTAACAAGCACATCAGACTCCCTTTCGTCAGTGGCTACAGGTGAGGAGGTAAATGTGTAAAACAACATTTAAGAATGACAAACGTTTTGTAACCGTTTGTTACAAATCAGTAAATGTATTTTGTCCTCATGGGCTCCTGTAGAAAGAAACATGGCGCCGCCCAGAGACTTACCAATGCCAAGGAACCTTGCCTTGATGTCTTTGCCCTGCCCTGGTTGCCTTAGGAGATACGTCATTGGGAGCCGCCAAGACCAGGGGCGTGTCCAGGGAGTGGCCTGGGGTGGCACATGCCACCCTTGGAATCTGATTGGCCACCCCAGGTGCCACCACACTAATTTACCTTTAAATAGGCTTTTCATTGTCCACAAAAGGCTTGGGGGTAAAACAAAAAAAGCATAACCATTGATGCCACCCATGCACAAAGTTGTGCCTCACCTGGGCCACCCCGTTTTAAAAGATCTGGACACGCCACTGGCCAAGATGTGTTGCAATGTTCATGTTCTACCGAGGCGTGTGTTCTCCATTTGTTAGCCGTTTAGCTAGCTGAGCGAGGATACACGGGAGGTGTCTTGTAGCCTAGCCTTGGTCAAAAATTACCCACAATAGAGCTCCGGACCCCACGTGACTCTCAGTTAGTGGACGCCATTTTGGCATGCAAAAAAGGTAAACAAACACGGATGTAACCATGAACATGAACAGGATCCGCTTGGATTTTACTTCGTCGGAGTTTACTTCACACTTTAAAACAGAAGAAATCGTTTTATATAGTCAGAAATTAAATAGACTAAACATCTCCGACCCTTACCGTGCCCCTGGGATACTTTTTAAAAACGCCAGAAGCTGTCGTAGCGGAATTCTTACCGGCACAACACCGGACCTGGCCGGGGAAACCCCTTGGGATTCCCCCGGCCGGAGGAGCTGGGGAGAAGGTCTGGGACTCTCGACTCTACTGCCCGCTCCGACAGCTTCTGGCGTCGGAGCGGGCTTCTTACCGGCACAACACCGGACCTGACCGGGGAACCCCTTGGGATTTACCCGAAGGAGCTGGCTCCGGCGGCTGGGGAGAGGGATGTCACGCTACTGCCCCCGCAACCCGACTCCGGATACGCGGATGAAAATGGATGGATGGACGGACAAATAACAGATTTACACGTAAGTAGTCTTGGTGAGACAGATAATAGCAATCCAAAGTGCTTTTTATGTGTGATCTGACAATTGATCAACCATTGCTTAAAAATTAAATACAGCTTAGCCGGTTAATTGCTGTCATCATAAAACACGTAAACGGCAGCACGCAGAACTCACAAGGCAACGTTTTACTTGTTGATGTGAGTAATAAGACAGAAAAAGCCCCGCCAAAATAAGTTTAGGAAGCCCACTAAGAATCGTAATAAAAGCATTTAAAATAAATACCATACACAGTTGAGGAAACGTTGGTTTAAGTACCTGATATGAAGCGGTCGCTGCATAAGCGAAAACCTTTACTCTCGGGATCCCACAGCTTTATTTTAGCCCGGTCACTAGCGCGTTTTATTACAATGATCCAACGTTTGCGGCGCTCCGGATCTTGGGGAATCCTGTAGATGGCTCGTTCCTTATGTCGTCCGCGTCTGTTCTGCATCCTGGGGCACAACAGGAATCTACCATATTTGCCGTTTGATTGAGTTTTCTGACAATAACAAATAGTCCAGCTGCCGGCTTCTGCATGCCAATATGGCGCCGTTTCGATTTGAACTGTTGCATGCCGGGAGAAGTGACGTCAACTCCCGGAGCTCTATACACCACAGTATTTTCAAAAAGACGGCGGATCAGAAGCCAGCAGCTACTTCGGGACAAATTTCAAGATTAAAAGTAAGTCATCTAGTTAAAAATTTTTTTTTTAATCCAAAGAAATTATCTATTGTTGGTTAGTTGCTTAGTAGTTGCAGCTTCGGTGGCTAGCGGGTAGTAACTCACTTATATTTTTAATTTAATAAACATATACACAATTTAAAAAGTAAAAGCCTTGTTATGTATTTATGTTGAAACTAATACATATAAAATATAACGTCTCCTGTGTCACGTGACGTTACGTGACCGCCGTGGAAGTCACGTGATGCAAGTCTGTTCCAGTTAACCGTTTTCTTTGACCAAGGAAGGAGTGTGTCTTTGGTACGTTCTGTGTTTGGCTTCAACGCAGCTGACGCGTCAGCTCTGAGGATGTTTTGCAGTCGGCAAACAAAACTGTCAGCAAGGTAAAGAGAAACCTTTCCTGTGTTTTCAAAAGAACCAAAAATGGAAGGACTATGTCCTCGTAAGCAAGGCGCCTTGCCTCGCAAGACATCGACTCACTAGGCCAGGCATCTTGACACTGAGAAACACCCTTAGACCCGCTCCCATGTATTTTAGACCTGATTTTTATGGTCATATGTTCTGAAGCCTCCAATATTTTTTAACAACTGGGCGTCATTTCATTCATTTTCAACAACATTTTGATGGATATGTCAAGAAATGAATGGTAAAAACTACACATTATCCCTTTACATTCCTTGTCAGAATCTTCAAATAACCACCAGACACTGGTTCACAATAGCAATTCTTTATTAACACTCACAAATACCTGTCACGTTGCGAGTTAGGAGGAGGTTAGGACCCAAGATGCAGAAACACCAGACGACACAAGGCAGGAGGGGTTTATAAAGTAAAATCCCTTTTATTTGGATGAGGAACAAAAAAAATCCAAAGGGCAGGAAGCCAAAACCTTATTACTAAACTCAGACCAAAAACCAAAAGCTCACTTACTGAGCAGAGACCTAGAGACCTAGAGACGAGAGACGAGAGACGAGAGACGAGAGACTAGAGACAAAACAACGCTGACACAAGACAATGGACCGACCAAAAATTGAGACACAGACAGGGTTTTATACACTGGGGAGGATGAGAGGGAGATGACCTGCAGGTGTGTGGGGAGAGAGACCAGGTGAACTGGGTTACTAATCAGGGAGGAAAACTAACATGACCCAAGAATAAAACCTAATGACAAGAAGAGCAGGAAACATAACTTAGTAATCTACGGGGGGAGAAAAACCTCAAACACTGATGGGAAAAACACACTAGAGAGACTAATAATACGAACAGCTGTAGCTAAAGGAGAATGACCTAAGAGAAAAACCTAAAGACCAGAGGGGCAGAAAACATAGCTAATATTCTAAGGGGAGGGGGGGGAGGGGGAAGGGGGGGGAGCTGAAACTAGAGGAAAACACTACAGAAAGAAGAACTACAGGGGCGTGACTAAAGGGGGCCACGGGAGCACAGGAACTGGGAGAGGGATATCTGAGGAGGGAAACCTAGAGGGCTGAAGATCTGGGGGAAAATGGAGAACATCAGGAGACACATGAGGAAGACGCAGAACAAGGACACATGAGGGCGCTAGAAGACACAAAACGAGAACCTAGAGAGGGATGGAGAACACAAGGAGACACACGAGGGGAGACGCAGACTCAGACCATGACAATACCCTGCAGCAACAAGCACCAATAAAACTATCCCTCCCTGCTAACAACACCCCCCATATAAAACAAGCAGCACACTTAGCTTTACAGTCCGCTCGACCCCCTCCCGGGGTCAAAGCTCCAGCGCCGTCCAACGCCCCGGGATCTAACGTCGTTGGCGGCGGTTGAATCCTCCGGCCTGGTGACCACCGGTCGGTAAGCCCTGGCTGACTACAGGAGGCGGCTGACCTCCCCTCCTCCCACAGGAACGCCTCACCTCTCGCTGGCTGCCTTCGTCGCCGGCAGCCCTAAACAGCTGTGATCGACACCCACCCCCCGTCACCAGGGCTCCGCGTCCGCTCACGCAGTCCGACTGTTCTCCCAACCACGAGCCCTCTCCTCCCCGGTCTCTTCAGCTCTTCCCGTGTCCTCATCAGTGCAGTAATTCCTCACACCTGGCCCCCGTAGGTTAACTCCGCCCTCTTCACACCACAGCACTTTTTAAAAGTGGGTGTACCCTTTTATGCTGAGCACTGTACAATAAGCCTCCCAACAACCTCATTGATGCTGCTTCACAACACCTGTCTAAGCTTCACTCAGACTAGCCGTTGACTCATCAGTCCTCTGAAACGTGATCCATTTCCACAAACTATCCACACAACAGGACGTCATTATTCGTAACATTTACACAGAAACGTGCTACGAAATTCCCCCAAAGCTCAGGTCAAAGTTAATGGGTAAGATTTCACTGCGATCAGAAATCACAAATTAGGTCAAAATGAATAAAATCAACTTTAATTCATCGAATAATTGTGTGATGTTTTATAGGGAAGTCCAATATCGGCATTAAAATGTAGCATCGGAGGTGACTGGAATCTGCTTTTTCCCTTTTAACGACACATCCTTTACGTAGCACGCACACGTTATACGTCAAACTCTTCCGCTACTTCGTCTCACCTTCAAAATGTCAAAATATGACGGATCTGAGGTCAAGTTTTTGTTTTGAAATAGAAATGCAGCTGTGTTGTTATTAAGAGTTGAAATGTAAAATAAAACTAGTTTAAGAGGTAAAACCGGAGCGAGATCATCCACAGGAACAAAAATGTGACTTTTTTGTGTTCAGTTCAGAACTGCTACCAGTTTATGGATCTACCACCAGATCCTGCTGCTCTAGTCCCAGATGGATCAGGAACCTGGACCTGTCCCAGACTAGAACAGACTTGTTAGACCTGATCATCAGCGCGACGTCTTTGTGCCGGTGGGCGGTGACCTTGGCGGGGAAACCGCCGTGAGGATGGCCTCCATGATGGCGGCACAGTTTAAGCTGCTGCTCTCTTGGGTCCTCGTGCTCAGACAGGCTCTCACGGTGCTCCGGTTTTTCCGGTGACCACCCGTCTGGGTTTTGCTTTTGTATTCTGTTCTTTTTGGTTCCTCCAATAGAAATTCCTCATTGCAAGTTTCAGAAATCACCTGACCTCTGCTCTCTGCAGCCCAGAACCCTCAGCGGTGGATTTTCCACATCACCGAGACTAGTTCGCCCACTTCCTGTTTCGGCTGCAAGCTGCCAGGAACCAAAGTTGCGGCCATGATTTCATGTCAACCCAAACGTGTTACACGTTTATATCTGGACGCCTCGCTCGTGTGCAGATATATTTCTGCCCCAGCCACCGGGACTCACGTGATTCACTGTTTTGGGACTTCCTCAGTTTTGCAGACACACTCTGCTTTTTGCGTTCACGGACAAGAACGTGTGTTGCTTCAGAGAGGAATGCTGTTGGTTTGCACAGCAATGACCAGTTTGTTGCCAGTGTTCCCATTAGGTCGGTTTCACAAACGACGGCACCAATGGGACAAACGTGCTGACTGAGATTAATTACAGGAATCACAAATTTTCTGAAAATGTCCAAATCACGTAGAGACCTTGGAGGACAACGTCCAGATGCCAGGGTCCCACAGTGGATGGTCACATGCAGGCGTAGCCGAGCTGCTGTGTGCTCTCAGCTGTTGCACAACGCTCCACACACTCGCGGCAGGTCTTCTATAAATGAGCGTGAGACAACAACATGTGCACATTTGAAGGCTGAAGTTCACCGTCAGGATGGATGGAGGCTTCTGGAAGGGGACGCTGGTGCTGTTGGTCTGCACCTACACTGCTGAAGGTACCCTCATCTGTTTTGTCACATGCATCATCATCATCATATATTTTGGTGATTTTTACAAACTGAGCCAACATTTTCAACACTAAAACTTTTGTCTTTATGGGTGTTGTGGTTTATGCTAATGTTTAATGCTAACCCGAACTCATCAGAGGGTCTTTAACTGACAGTTTGTGCAATGGGAGCATGAATCTTGTGGATACTTTTAGAAGGAGACGTAGCTTTTGTCTCTCAGCAGCATCCCGACTGCTCTTAAACATTTTAGTTTAATGAAAATATCCATAAAATGCTCCTGATTCTGGGTTAGGGGTGCAGCTGCTTCAGTCTCCCTGCAGTGGGCTAACCGTTAGCTACTACAGCAGCTAGGATGGCACCTTTCAAGATCACCAAACAGATGATAAAAACAAGATTTAATAATATCAAAGCGTTCTCAGTAACAGCATGTGAACCTACGAGCAGGCCCAGTGAGCACTTTCTACAGAGAGAGAGAGCAACAGGTGGTTTTAGTCTGGATTAAGTCTGACTGTCTTATGTTTAGGGGGAGGGAGCTCCATAGTCTAGGCTCCGAGCCGTGAAGACTGCACCCGTGGTACTGAGCTGTGTTATTGTCACTAAGGTCTGCTGATCACCAGGGGCGGATTTAGCAATTTGGGGGCCCAAGGTGAACACAGACATGAGCCCCCTTACGCAAAATTTTCGACAATCTTATTTTTAACTGGATTTGCGAAACTCTCCCCTCTTCTGACATGAATTATTTTCACTTTTTATTAGTCCTCCTCTTTATTCCTGTCTTTCTCTCCCTTTGAGTGCTCTCTTCTTCCTGTCAGTGCTCCCGTGCTTTTGCCTTTCTTTTTTCTTCTTCTATTTTCCATTTTGGTCCATGTTTTCCTCCCTTTAAACGTTTTCCATTGCCTTTCCTTTTCTGCTTCCTTTGATGTTTACATAGAAAAACGATGTCACTTTTGGAAGTGAAGATAAAAGCTTTTTCGAAACAAAGCTGCTTCTTTCTCTCATTGGAACCGCGAGGATAACTCCATTTCATGCTTCATGTTTTCACTACCGCTTCGAGTTTTTACGAACGCTCCCGCCTCTCTTCTTCTTCTTCTTCTTCTTCTTATTTGTGGTCTTACGGCACTTGGCAAACAACAAATTGGTGCATTACTGCCACCAGCTGGATTGGACTGGAATGACTACCAATCACTTCCTGTTTGTGCATCGGCATCTTAAAGGAATGGTCCATTGTGGCATTAACAGAGGGGTGCCAGCAGTCAGGGCTAGGGGGCCCAGGGGGCCGCCGACCTATGCCCAATGGTAAAACCGCCACTGCCGATCACCTACTCCTCTGTGTGCCTAAAAGGAGCTCTAAAGCTCGGGGCGGCGTGCTTTCACCTACGCTGCTGTCAGACGGTGGAATACACTCCCTCCTTCCCTGGTGCAGTTCAACTCCAGCCTAAAGACCCATCTCTTCCATCTAGCTTTTGGCCAATGTGTGTTCTTGTGCAGCATTTTAGTTATTTATGGTCTTATTCTGGATCTTATTGGTTTTTCTGACAGTTAAACCTGCACCCTCTGTGTGAAGGTAAGGTTTTACCCTGTGCAGCACTTTGGTCAGCTGACACGCAGCTTTTAACCCTCCCACTGTCTGTATGGGTGTGACCCCACGAGGAAAGTTGACCAATGCAAAAGTTGATACAGGAGGAGAGAAATGAATGAACCAGGATTTCAGCGTTGGACAGGGGTGGACTGGGACCAAAAATCGGCCCGGGCATTTTTATGGACTGTTGGCCCTCAGAGCAGGGGGTGGGGTGGGGTGGGGTGGGGGTGTTGTTGCAGTTTACTCTGTCTCTGTTTACTGCCATTCAGTTTAAGGAAATGTTTACACTTGTGTTCATTTGTAAGGTTCCTTTTGTTTATTTCTTGCCTCTAGCCTCACTTTCCCTCCACATGGACGACTTCATTAAGGCTGTGAAGCGGGTGGAGGCTCAGGACCCCGGATCGAAGCCGGTAGCTGTGCTGAAACGGCTACGCAGAGCCGCCGGCCTCAACAACGCGTTCATTCAACACTTCCTCTCTGACGCCGCCACCAGTGGTCCTGAACTGGAAGCTAACCTCTCAGCTTACGTTCACAAGGCTGTGCATCACAGCGTGCAGGAAGACGCCAGAGAAGAAGGAGTGGTTCTGACTTCTGATGGTACCACTGTTGCCCTCAGGCCACTCCTCCTGGGTCTTGAAGCTGGGTTCCTGTCCAAGACTCGAGGACAAGCCAGAGGCCTCTACCACCTGACTCTGGCCAAAGACCTGGGCCTTTCCTTAAGGCGGCGCTCCAACAGACAGCACTTTGATGCCGATGGCTGCTGGGACAACCTAACCTCTCCTCGGGTGTTCACCCTCTCAGCCAAACCATCGCTGCTAACTACAGCTCTGGTTAACGGAGGCATGGATGGTGTGGTACTGGGGATGGAGGTGTCTGGCAAAGCAAGACAACATCTCAAGCTCAGCAGTCTGCTGACGGAGTACTACAACCACCAGCTGAACAGCGAGGGACTGGACAGCGCCCCTCGTCTCATCAGCCGACGACGCAGGGAGAACTTTAAAGGCCTCACTCTTCCTCCAGCGCTGGCCAGATGGGTGGTGAAGTCCGTTGAGTTGGAGCAGCAACTAGGAGGAAACCCGTCAGGCGAGACAAAGAAGCAGCTCAGAGCGCTGGTGCGGAACAGACTGAAGGCGTTTTTCCACACGGTCACTGGTAAGCACAACCCAAAGAGGAACGTTCGTGCTCCAGGAATATCTGGTGACATGCAATACTTCACCGTGTTTTTAGGCTGCCCTCCCATCATCCCTCGGTGTATGTGGGGTGCAGAGCCGTACAGAGGAACGCCCACTCGCCTGACTCTGCCGCTGTCCTTCATGTACATCCATCACACCCACTCCCCGAGCGAGCCTTGCCTGACGTTCCAGCAGTGTTCTGCAGACATGCGCTCCATGCAGCGCTTCCACCAGGAAGACAGAGGCTGGGACGACATCGGGTACAGGTAAGAGCAGCTCCAGCCCTCTTATACCTGCCAAGAGCTTCTGAAAGAGTCCTGAAGACTTTGTGCTTTTGAAGCTTCGTCGCCGGCTCTGACGGGTACATCTACGAAGGCCGAGGGTGGCACTGGCAAGGAGCCCACACCCTGGGACACAACTCCAAAGGTTACGGCGTTTCCTTCATCGGGGACTACACCGCTCGTCTGCCATCTCAGCACGCCATGAGGCTGGTGAGAGACCAGCTGGCGGCCTGCGCTGTAGGTGGTGGTCGACTGACGTCCTCCTTCACTGTGCAGGGACACAGACAGGTGGTGAGCACATCCTGTCCTGGAGACACCTTCTACGAGGAGATCAGAGGCTGGGAACGCTTTGGGGTATGTAGGAATACTGGGATTCCAGCTGGAATTGTAGAGAAAAAATAGGTTAACGGAAAAACGCTGAAATATTGCTGCATATTGAGAACACGTCAGCTTCTAGAAGAAATCTAGATCAGGCTTTTTACTCGAGGCTCCTGGGAACTCAGCCGTCTGTGTTTAGGAAACAGTAAAAGTTACTTTTTTACTCTAAAAACGAGTTCAGTGGAAAAGCATCAGGAGTCGGACAAAAACACAAATTTATCACGTGAATAATTTGCTGTTTTCTGCTTGTGTTCATGAATGTCTCACCTTTCTTTCCTCATAACTGTGTCTACACCTGCTGCAAAAATGCTGAATTCATGCTTCTTTTCTTCTTTAGGAAGTGAAGAAATGAAAAGCTTCTACCCGACGAGGAGAACAGCTGGTTAAACATTTCAAATAAAACCTCTGAGGCCTGTTTTCTGCAGATTCATGATCTCGTGTGACAAACAGAGTCGACTGAACCCTGAGCGTAAAGGTGTGGGTGAGCAGTAGCTGGTCCATCACCGATGGGTCCAAACACGCGCTCATTCCGGCTGGAGACATCTTTTAACTCAGTCATTTTTCTATTTGAGCTGGAAAAGTTTGACGTGGCTTGAGTCATCGTGCATGTGAGGAGCTGGCGTGTGCTCCTCATACACGTGTTTCTGTTACGGCCCCAACAGGAGGTGTTTAAAATGTGCAGGAGGGGTAACGTAGGAAACATGATGGTGAACTTAAATTTGTTTAAATGTCAGAAGGTTTAAAGGCAAGCGTGCAAACAGATGGTAAGCTTTGTTAAAACGATGCCGAACAAGACATCTAGTCAACAATTAAAACTCCCGTTTAAAACTTAATTCCATTTTTGGTTCTTTTTTAAACACAGACAAGGTTTCTCTTTACCTTGCTGACGGTTTTGTTTGCGGCTGCAAACATCTTCAGAGCTGATGGGGGTGAAAAAAGATGGCGGCCGGCGTGAGCGGCAGCTTTTTAGCAGGCTCGGTTAACTTGATGTTTTTTTAGCCAAACTTTGAACTTTTAGAGGTAGCAGCGCTAACGATCTTGTTCATCAACCCATACTTACCATATCTGGGTCCTTTTCTGCTTTTTTGCTCCTCCGTCATACCCGACGGCCTTTTCAGACATGTGCTAATAAGCTAGCATGATGGACCACGACTACAACCTAAGTGCCCTACGTGAAGCCTGTGATGAAGACGTCATAGAAGATATTGAAGCTTCAGAACCTAACTTAAAAGACCAAAAGGTAAACTGGGACCACATTCCTGTTAGGAACAAAAAGGCGAAGAAAATGAAGGTGCAGGGGTTAGCGGAGAGCAGAGAGGAAGATGTCCCGTTGGAGTTATGTGCTCTAAATCAGAAGATAGATGAACAAACTGAACTTTCGACCAGCTTTGACAAGCGCATTGAGGCTAACAAAGAGGCAGCATCCATTAACCGGAAAGATATATCTGAGCTACAGTCAAAGATAAATACTTTTCAAAAGGAAAATGCCGCACTCAGAAGTGCGTGTGAAGACCATGCCCACTATAAAAGAAGATAGAATCATAGGCTACTTGGTCTACCTGAGAAGGAAGAGGAGAAAATGCGAGACGTCGTCATCGGGATCCTAACGAGGATCATTCCTGTCTCCGTCGATCAGCTGAGAGATACCGTGGATGCGGTCCACAGGCTGGGTTTTAAACCCTGTGCGGCGACCAACAACACCCCAAGAGCTGTTGTTATACAGTCCGCACTGAGAAACATCCGGGATGAGGGGTGGAAGAAATCCTAGGACGCCCGGGTATGCAAGGAGGTGCACATCAGCTTCAAGGAGGACTTCTGCAATGAAGACAGACTCGCTCGGGCATGGACGTAATTTTCACTTTAGAAGTTGGGGGGGGGGGGGGGGGGGGGGGGATCTTTACAGTATGCTCTAATGGGAAACAGGCTTCAAAACAAATGGTTGTTTTCCGCTTGGTCCTAGAGCTCAACCAGTGTCAGTTTAACATAACGTAATGTTGTTTTTGGATGGTAAAAAGTGCAGGGGTCAAAACTTGATTTTGGAAAAAGTGGGGGGGACATGTCCCCCCTGTCCCCCCCAAAATTACGTCCATGCGCTCGGGCCAAACTTTGGCCGTTGGTTCAACAAGCTAGGAAGAATGGAAAGAGGGCCTACCTGAAAGAAGGACACACACTCATCGAGAACAAAAGGGTGGATCCTAACCGAGTTATCCTTTCCCGATGCTTTTCATAAGGTACGCTTTTCATTTTAGGGCTGTTACTTAGTTTTCCTTGACAGTAACGATGCTTGTTCCTGCACATCTTTTATTTCCTTTGTGTATTAAGTGGACCGCTTTAATTTTATGTTATCTTTGTTGTCTCTAAATGTTCGAGGTCTGAAGGACAATATTAAACGGAAAGCAAATTTTCTTTGTTGCAAAGAACAAATGGCGATCTGTTTTCTACAAGAAACACACTCAGCACAGGGCGATTGAACTTTTTGGAAGCATCAGTTTATTTCAGTCATGGGACTTCTCATTCTGCAGGCACCATGATATTGTTCAAGAGGTTTCTTGAGACCATCTTGGATCACAAAAGTGGGTAATGGCAGTCGTAAATGTAGAGGATGTCCGCTTAATTCTGGTATGTATATGTGGCTTCAACAGCAAAACACAGAACAAACAATTTTATCTGGGCTTAATAAATCTAATAGATGGATGAAAGATTTAACCTAACTCCAATGACTATGATGACCGCCTCCCCTCTAGAGGGCGCCAAAGCATCTTTAATGAAACCTTCCTTCACCCAACTTCTAATACTGGACTGTCTGACTGCTGGCGTGTGAGATACCCATGAATTAGGCAATATACTTGGTTTAATGCAGCAAATTACGGTCAATGCTCTAGACTTGATTTTTGGTTGATCCCCATGATCTAACCCAAAATGCTACAAACTGTATTATATCTCCATCACCTCTAACTGATCATTCCTCAGTATCGCCATCCTTATCTCTAAATAACACGCACAAAATTCACAACCCAATACGGAAAGTCAACAATAGTCTACTCCTTAACAACCTGTATGGAAATAAACATCTTCATTGCTCAAATTAAACTACTACATCTCTCACCCACAAGCAAATGAGAATGGTTTAAATTGGAAGCCAAATCAATGGCAAGTAAAACAGGTACAAACCTCTCCAAACAAAAACGCTCTCGACAACAAGAAATTATTAAAAATATTAATGACACATGCAATAGAAAACAACTAACAACGGAAAAAAAACTTTACTTGAAAAATTCAAATTACAACTGGATGATCTCTTCACAGATAAGGCTCGAGGTGCTTTTGCACGTTCTACGTTGGATTGAGGAGGGAGAAAATAACTCGTCTTATTTTTTCAGTCTAGAGAAGCACAAACTAAAAAGAAGATCTCTAAATTAAATATTAATGGAATCATCACAGACGTCTCCAACCATATTATTAGCTTTATCAAGAAATTTTACGACAATCTTTACATTTCTAAATTTTCTGACTCAGAATGCAAATCCTTCCTCAATAACATCCAAAATTACATAACAAGTATTGATAATGAGTTTAAAAACTATATGGAGGATTATCTTAAAATTGAGGAACTAGACATAGCTACACTCAACAAAAATATAAACACAACGCCTTTGTTTCTGCTCCGGTTTTTCATGAGATGGACTTAAAGATCTAAAATTCATTCCAGATACACAATATTACCATTTCTCTCTAACGTTGTTCACAAATCAGTCTAAATGTGTGATAGTGAGCACTTCTGCTTTGCTGAGATAATCCATCCCACCTCACAGGTGTGCCACATCTAGATACTGATCCGACATCATGAGTAGTGCACAGGCGTACCTAATACTGCCCACAATAAAAGGCCACCCTGGAATGTGCAGTTTTGTCTCACAGCAAAATGCCACAGGTGCCACAAGCATTGAGGGAGCGTGCAATTGGCATGCTGACAGCAGAAATGTCAACCAGATCTGTTGCTCGTGCATTGAATGTTCATTTCTCCACCATAAGCCGTCTCCAAAGGCGTTTCAGAGAATATGGCAGCACATCCAACCAATCTCACAACCACAGACAACGTGTAACCACACCAGCCCAGGACCTCCACATCCAGCAGGTTCACCTCCAAGATCGTCTGAGACCAGCCACTCAGACAGCTGCTGAAACAATTGGTTTGCATAACCAAACAATTTCTGCACAAACTGTCAGAAACCGTCTAAGGGAAGCTCAACTGCATGCTCATCATCCTCATCGGGGTCTTGACCTGACTCCAGCTCGTCGCCGTAACAGACTTGAGTGGGCAAATGCTCACATTCGATGGCGTCTGACACGTTGGAGAGGTGTTCTCTTCACAGATGAATCTCGGTTTACATTGTTCAGGGCAGATGGCAGACACCGTGTGTGGTGTCGTGTGGGTGAGCGCTTTGCTGATGTCAATGTTGTGGATTGAGTGGCCCATGGTGGTGGTGGGGTTATGGTATGGGCAGGCATCTGTTATGGATAAAGAACACAGGTGCATTTTATTGATGGCATTTTGAATGCACAGAGATACCGTGATGAGATCCTGAGGCCCATTGTTGTGCCGTACATCCATGAACATCACCTCATGTTTCAACAAGATAATGCACGGCCCCATGTTGCAAGGATCTGTACACAATTCTTGGAAGCTGAAAATGTCCCAGTTCTTGTATGGCCAGCATACTCACTGGACATGTCACCCGTTGAGCGTGTTTGGGATGTGCTTGACCGGCGTATACGACAGAATCGAATCAAATCAAATCAACTTTATTTATAGAGCGCTTTCACATGGCCAGAATGGACAAACAAAGCGCTGTACATCAATAAAATGCCACACAATAGGACAGAGATATGACCATTAAAATACATTAATAAATCCATTAAAATACACAAAAAAATCCCTGTAAAATACCGTAATAAATCCTATAAAAATGCAATAAGAAATCCATTTTAAAATACAGTACAAAAACCTGAGTGCCAGTTCACAGTCCATATCCGGCCTACTTCCCCCAACTTCAACGTCCAAAAGCCAGCGAGAACAGATGTGTTTTCAGTCTTCCTTTAAAGGTTTCTAATGACTTGGCCTGTTTTACATCGGCTGGCAGCTCATTCCAGAGACTTGGTCCAAGTACTGAAAAAGCTCGACTACCACGAGACTTCAGGCTGTACCTAGGCACAGTTAGTAATCTCTGGTCAGCTGACCTAAGGGAACGCACCGGGACATGCTGGTGGATGACATCGGAAAGATATTTAGGAGCCCCTGTGTTTAACGCCTTGAACACAAACAGGAGGACCTTAAACCTGATGCGATAAAAAACAGGGAGCCAATGCAAGGCACGTAGGACTGGTGTTATATGTTCAGACCTCCTGGTAGATGTTAG